TGTACATTTATATGAAAACTATATATACTGTATATATATATATATATATATATATATATATATATATAATCTATATTACTTCATCTATATTTAACAATTTTGTCACACCGTACTATGACATTTTACAGTAATCAACTACTATTACTACTATTAATGTGATGGCACAATAATAATAATTAAAAAAAAACATTTAAAAACCTAATTTGGCTGATATAATGTTTAAAATCATAAAACTTTACACAAAATATTCTTATTACTTATAGTACTACTCTTAAATATATCAAACTGGAAATATATCAGACAGAAAGGTACTGATTTCATAAAATGATCCCTTAAATTCTTTTGAAATCATTGCAAGGCAGTGTGTCAGAAGCATTTTACTTTACTGGCTTGTGGTCTGAAACAACTGTTTGTGGATCTGAATCAATGTTGGATTTTGTCATTTTCAGTAAACAAAAAAAGAAGTGAGTAATTGTCTTAAGTCAGCCAAACAATATGTTTGTGTTTGTGTAACAGAAATATGGTTTGTTTTTTAATTAGGCCACTGCTGTTTATCAAATTCTGCTTTATAGTCAGTGTGCTTTCTTTTAGCACTTCGCACAGCAGAGCACTTGTGGTTATGGCCACAGAAAGTGTGCTCTATTTCCAGTCAAAATAAATGAGAATGAGGTGGCGTTCTGCTCTCGGGTGTGAATTTTTTACACTTTAAACACTTAGGAAGATAATCTTTTTTCTCATGTTTATTTTAATATGATACTTAAGAAGGACAGAACACAAACTGAGAATAAGGTCATTAAAATTCACATCCAGCTCTGTGGTCCATCAGCTTCAAGCTGTTGAGGCAACATTTGCCTTCTGCGATACTGTTCTTGTGGTTACCAAACAATCTAAAAAAAAAATACCAGTCTAGCCAGATATCCAGCAGTTAGACATTTAGCAGTCAATCTTTATTACATAACTGGATCTTTGCAGAGATGGAAATGAAAATGTATTGATAAAACATAGACTGGTATGTTAAAGAAAAAGTTCACCCAAAAATGAAAATTTGGGTGAATTTTTACTCAACATTAAATTGCTTGCTCACCAATGGATCGTCTGCAGTGAATGGGTGCCTTCAGAATGAGAGTCCAAACAGCTGATAAAAGCAATAATTCACAAGCAATCCACACAACTCCAGTCTATCATTTATAATAATCCATAATTCATATTAATGCTTGCCACTGGAAAAAGTCCATCCCCTTGTTGTCCGCTCACATCAAAACCCACTAGTATATTGTTTAGAATTGTTTTTTGCTTGTAAACTGTACTTGATCAGTGCATATTTCTCTCCTGATTCAAGTAAGACAATTTTTTTTTACTGGGAAAAAGTATGGATTGAGCACTCATATTTTAGGAAGCAAAGGTTCAAAACCTTTTTCAAAGTTTTAAACGTCTCTATGATAGATTTGTTTATTACAAACACGCAGCTTGTGGATTACTTACATTACTTGTGGATTATTGTGATGTTTTTATCAGCTCTCATTCTGACGGCACCCATTCACTGCAGAGGATTGGCAAGTTTTGCAACTACATTATAACACTAGAGGGCACAATTATCTTTAGCAATATAAGGAGACAGTGAGATATTTTTGTATGCATTAACAGTGCTTATTGTAAGAAAAATAAAATAGCAAAATAAACATTAAACAACCTGCACCACTTATATGTAATACTTAATGCAATAAAGCTATATCAGTAAAGGTCTTACTAAAGGTCATACTTAAAGTCATGTAATTCATTCAGGTATCCTATGATGTCATCAAGAAATTCCACTGAATATGAAATAACATTCTTTTAATAATCTTAAAGATCACCTTAGAGATAGCAGTATTTCCTAATGATCATGGCAAATTCAGGGCTGCGGTCCAGCAGAGTCCTGCAAACTGCTCCATCTAAGGAGCCCATCTGTGAAGAGGAGGACAGACGGAGGCAGCAGATTGAGAGATGTAGTCTCTTTCTCTCTACAAACCTTTAGATGGATGACGCTCTATTTACACTTCTGACCGAAAGAATCCTATACACAGGAAATGCTTGTGGATGTGAGTTCCTCTGCTTGAATGTGGGGAAGCTTATTTATTTCCACAAGCATTCCTGATTTGCACTCAGTGAGGCTTAGACCTTTCAGTTCAAAAAGCACTTATGGCTATATATGGTGGCAGGAAATACATGTGGTAGACTAGTTTCACAGTTGAGGATTATGCATAGTCCCATAGCAACAAATAATAGCTAAGTTGGCTATATAGAAAAATGACATGTCTTTCATTCATTATTACGAATACCTAAATACTTGCCCCAAAAAGCACTTTATTAAGTAAAACATATTAAAGAAAGCACAATTGTAAGTTCCTCTTACTGATATAAATTTCACCTCCATAAAACTGGGTTTCTTTGGGGGTTTCAATTGAAGATGTTTATTTCAACAAGGTTTTACTCATACTCATTGTTTATTTAAAGAATTGAGTTCTCTTTTTCAACACAGATCTCAATACAAATTGAAAGTCCAAGGTACAAACTAGTTCGTTTTCTTTTCTTTCCACAAATGAATCATTAAGCAGTAAATCAGGTTTGAGTTTTTTGTGTATCTGTGGTTGTAGAGTTGTAGAGGAGAGGACAAGAACAACAGCACGATGCAATTTGTTCTAAGAGGAACCTTGTTCATATAAACATTATCATTTTAAGACATTGTGCTCAGGATGGTTTGCAAAGACAACGAGTGCGTTCTTGATCATAGTATACACATTATTAGAATGAACTACTGTTAGTATACTGTACAGTATACTGTCCTTTAGAGTGGCCACCGATGTTGAATTCCACAACGACAACAATAATAGCAGTATAAATAATAATAGTAGTTTTAGCCTGAACGCTTGATAGATATGTTTATGTATAGATCTGTTTTTGTTTGCAATTATCATTTAAAAAAATACAGAAAATAAGAATGTTGCTGATATAGAATTCAGCGAATCTCTGTAGACATTAAACTACACTCTAAAAAATGCTGGGTTGTGGACTAACTCAACCGTTGGGTTACATTTTTACATTACATTTTTAACCCAAAAGTTGGGTTAGTCCAAATTTGACCCAAAGCTGGGTTGAAATAACCCCGCATTCTCGATTAGACGGCTGAATTGCTTTGCTACCGTCTGGGATTCGTCAAGTGTCGTCAAAAGAATAATTTCTCATCTGTTTTCTCTCTGAAGTTCAGTGTTTTGTCCGGACAGGTGAGAGACAGGTAGGAGCAGAGCGGGAATCCGCGCGGGTACAGCTGTGGGTGCGCGTGTGAGATCAGCGACGACGTGAGTGCGTAACCGCGCGACTCCAAACACGCGACCTGCGCTCCTCCGGCAACGCCGCACCTTCTTTGGAACTGGTTCTCCCTTTTTGACAGAATACTGTCAATGCTAAACTCCTTCGATTTGTCTGTTGTTTTTCGAGGGTGCGTCTGAGCATTCGTTTCTTTGGATTTGGCGTCTCCGGTTTGCGCGCTTCCAATGTCATTCATCACGGGTACCGGCGTCTCTCGCGCGTTTAAAGGCGCAGTGTTTGTGCCATTTAGATTGTTCAGAGACACTGTGCTGGTCTGTTCAGGCGTCGGGCATCTTGGTTTAGTGCCCGCTGTGGTCGAGGGTGCTAAACACCAGTCCTTCGTGGAGTCGGAGGCGTGTGTGGCCACATTAGCCTCGCTATTTTGTTGTTGGGTGCCGTTATACTTCTCGTGGATGTTTAGATCTTTTCCGGGATGTTTTTCGTGTTGCCGCTTGCTTATTTCTGAGACCTTAAGCGGTGACTCTTTCTCCAAATGGACGCTTTGATGAAGTTTAGAGTTCAGGGTCGTCGCTCGGCTTCTCTTATGCCCGATTTTAGTCTCTCCCGTTTCCTGAGTCCTGCACTTTCTCTTCCGTCGCCGGTAGTTTCCGTTATCGAACATGTCCAGGCATTTGGTGTCCAGCGTCCAGTAGCTGCCCTTCCCCGGTCGCCCTTTTTCTCTGGGCACTTTGATGAAGCAGTCGTTCAGCGAAAGGTTGTGGCGGATTGAGTTCTGCCAGCCCTGCTTGTTGTCATGGTAATAAGGGAAGCGGTCCATGATGAACTGATAGATCCCGCTCAAAGTCGCGCGGTTGTCCGGCGCGTTGGGTTAGTCCAAATTTGACCCAAAGCTGGGTTGAAATAACCCCGCATTCTCGATTAGACGGCTGAATTGCTTTGCTACCGTCTGGGATTCGTCAAGTGTCGTCAAAAGAATAATTTCTCATCTGTTTTCTCTCTGAAGTTCAGTGTTTTGTCCGGACAGGTGAGAGACAGGTAGGAGCAGAGCGGGAATCCGCGCGGGTACAGCTGTGGGTGCGCGTGTGAGATCAGCGACGACGTGAGTGCGTAACCGCGCGACTCCAAACACGCGACCTGCGCTCCTCCGGCAACGCCGCACCTTCTTTGGAACTGGTTCTCCCTTTTTGACAGAATACTGTCAATGCTAAACTCCTTCGATTTGTCTGTTGTTTTTCGAGGGTGCGTCTGAGCATTCGTTTCTTTGGATTTGGCGTCTCCGGTTTGCGCGCTTCCAATGTCATTCATCACGGGTACCGGCGTCTCTCGCGCGTTTAAAGGCGCAGTGTTTGTGCCATTTAGATTGTTCAGAGACACTGTGCTGGTCTGTTCAGGCGTCGGGCATCTTGGTTTAGTGCCCGCTGTGGTCGAGGGTGCTAAACACCAGTCCTTCGTGGAGTCGGAGGCGTGTGTGGCCACATTAGCCTCGCTATTTTGTTGTTGGGTGCCGTTATACTTCTCGTGGATGTTTAGATCTTTTCCGGGATGTTTTTCGTGTTGCCGCTTGCTTATTTCTGAGACCTTAAGCGGTGACTCTTTCTCCAAATGGACGCTTTGATGAAGTTTAGAGTTCAGGGTCGTCGCTCGGCTTCTCTTATGCCCGATTTTAGTCTCTCCCGTTTCCTGAGTCCTGCACTTTCTCTTCCGTCGCCGGTAGTTTCCGTTATCGAACATGTCCAGGCATTTGGTGTCCAGCGTCCAGTAGCTGCCCTTCCCCGGTCGTCCTTTATCTCTGGGCACTTTGATGAAGCAGTCGTTCAGCGAAAGGTTGTGGCGGATTGAGTTCTGCCAGCCCTGCTTGTTGTCATGGTAATAAGGGAAGCGGTCCATGATGAACTGATAGATCCCGCTCAAAGTCGCGCGGTTGTCCGGCGCGTTCTTAATTGCCATGGCGATGAGCGCGATGTAGCTGTAAGGAGGTTTCTGCGGAGGCTCCTGCCGGCTTGACGCGAATCCCAAAGCGGGAATGATGCCTCCAACTTCGCCACCGTAAACATAGATCAGGGAGGAATTCGATAAAGTGAGAGCCGGTGCAGCCACGCCGGGCTGTGGCACAGGGCTGTGGTATAAACTCATGACTTCGGAGGACAGTCTCAGTCTGGGGAGATCGCCACCGGTGTGTCCGCTTCATGAGTCTAAAATGTTAAATAATTGTTGTCCGTTTTGCTGTTTTATGTTGATTTAGCGCTGGAAAATAAATTGTCTATGATAAACACCCGTTGTGTTCCCTCAGCCCACCCACATTAATTAAATTTTCATTGCAGAAAGCCTCGAGTCTCTCTCTCTCCCCGCGTGTCCCCTGCCTACCAGCCAATGGTGTGCTCGGATATTCCTTCATTTGTTTATAGAATTAGTCTGTTGATAAGTCTGCCCACCCAAGTCGAATCAAGCTGTGTTTATTTGGAAAAATTTCCGGGCACCCAATACATAAACGCACTGATCTGATGTTTGAAATATCACGTCCACCCTTAACGCTGAAAGTTGCTCGCACAGAGAGAACAAGCAAACATGACAGAGCTCTTTCTGGGAGTTGCTTTGGGTTGCTAGAAAAGAAAACAAAGCAGGCTATCTAAAGGAAAATGGCTTAATTTCTTTGTAACTCCGATTATGGACACCACAGTTACTGTTGACATTCATTTACTAAATCCATTTAGCCTAATTTGACATTTTTGTGTCAGAAGAATGTGTAATTACACAGCCGTATGTTGTTTGTAACACAATGGATCTGAATTCTACACTGTAAAATATGCACTATTTGCACGTTTTAAACTTGATTTGCCATAATCGTATGTAAAATACATTGTAAACGTGAAAAATATGAATTCTTTTATAATTTAAGTATTTTATAATTTGATTTACAGGGCGATATACATTTACAGAAAGAGATTGTTAAATTGTTTGTTTCTGTAAGTAAAAATAAATGCCTTACTTTTGGTATTTGGTATTTATTTGAAAAATGGTATTAGAATTCCCTGCACAAATCATCTAATTTAATACGATTTTATCTTAAAAGTTTTTATGTTGTTGTTGTTGATTTTTTTTTATTTTAGCATAGTATATCTTCCCCAATCATGTTTTGTGTCTATTTCACTCTCAGAAAAAAGTTACAAGAGCTGTCATTGAGACGGTACCCTTTCAAAAGGTACTAAATTGCACGTTTTAAGTGATAAAATGTACCATTTAGGTACTACTGTGTACCTTTAGGGTATTAAAATGTACCCTTTAGGGATAAATGAAGTACAAAGGTGTGTACCTTTTCTGAGAGTGTTTGAACTTTAAGACATTGTGTGGTCTGCCAACCACCTGTGTTATCAGTACATTTTACAATATAACGAACTAAAAAGATTTTGGGTTATGTTAATATTACAGATTTTAATGACCTGAAAATGGCATCATATAATGCTTGTAATATGTTCTCTGAATTTTTTTTTACAATTAAGTTCTGGCAACCACACCTGCTAGTATAAGACCATTTTTACAGTGTATAGCTTCTTTATTCTATTACGTAAAAATTTCATCAGTTTGCTAACAATAGATGAAAGAGCAGTGATAGCCAAAAAAGGAAAACTTGGCAGGACGTTAGGATAAACTGTATTATTTGTGGATGCACGCATGATGCTTTATATTATGTATTTTCCTGTTTATAGGACAGAGAGGGATTATAACAACTTTACAAGTGCACACAGCTGGCCTGTGATTACATTATGCGTTTGGAGGTTTCTGTGGATAAACTTGAAAGTTTTTCCTGAGTTTTTACTATCACTCTGAAGATGGTGATTCATAAAGTTTTAGACTAAAAATCCAGACACACCGGCAACATGCCACTGTGATAATATAGGTTTCAACCTACAGAGATGGTTTAATCCCGCAGATGTGTTACCATTTTCTTTGAGTGTGCCTAACCTTCCCTTATTGTTTTATTCAGCTTTATAACTGAAAAACCACTGCCTTTTTGTATTTGATCTAAAGGTACGTTAACAGTATAGGAATTGCCTTTGTTTTTCATATACTATATGTTGCTTGACTGTTGATAGCTCTTAAAACGATTAACATTTTATTTCAGTTGTCTTCATTCAACATGAAATTTTCATCAGTGAATCTGTCTTCAGAACTCAAAACAAGGAGAGAAATGTGGTTTTAGATTGTTTGTACAAGCAGACACCGATTTTTCTGTTATTTTTAACCGTTAGGAACATGTGTTAAAATTCCTTACTCTTTGTTTTATTCATCATGTTCCCATCTGAAGGATAAAAACAAACAAAAAACCATGTGAAACAGACTGGCAAGGTTTGTTACCAAACACAATAAATAAAATCAGAACCAACAATTTTTCCACAAACAATGTAATTGGAGTTTTGATCTGAGCTATAGGCAGAGAAAGTCAGATTATTCTTTGCTTTGCATATATAGCTTTGCAAATCATTCACAGTGTCTCGTTCTGTCTTTTCGATCAATTTCTGTAAAATGTGAACATATTGCATGCTCTTTAAAAGGGTTTTCCGAAAAATATATCTTTCATTCTATTTGGACAGTTGTTGTTTACCAGGCCTTTTTATCCAAAGCTACTTACAAAGCTACTTAATTACGGAAAAAGGGCCCAATGGGACAATATGGGGTTAAATGAGGTTTGCTCAGACACACAAAAGCATGTTTCATATAATAAACAAACAATAGTTTGTTATATATACAAGCTCTCTCAAAGAACATGCACACACTGCACCACACATATACTGGCATATGATCAAGACAAGGTTCAAGAGGAGCTATAAACGGATCTTAAATGTATTTTCATTCAAACATTATATTATGCAGTTCTCAGATCTTCGGCTTTTGAATGCTGGGGCCATTCTATTCTATTCTATTCTGTTTAGTCAACTATTATATACACACAAGGAATCATGCAAACACAAAAACGTTTCATTTGTACCGGATGAGCATGTGACGAATAAAACTGAAAACGGTAGGCCTACCCACAGAAGACACAAACAAATGTAAATTAAATGAGAGCAAAATAGTCAGACACCAGAGGAACATATCATTTCAACATTTTATGGCATGCTTTTGAGATTAAATAATAAAACAAACAGTTGCATTCACCACATTGTCTCTCTGTATTATCAGCTGCACTGTAATGAAAGTACTCGCCTGTCACTCGAGGCCTTCAATAAATGTCGCCATCTGGTGGCTTTTTATCAGTATTCTCAATCTATAACCTTTTCAAATGACTGTGTTCATTGGTGTGGCTTCTCCTGTGCGTGACCACAAGCTCAATTTATTGATTTAGCTGTCAGATCTAGCCTTAAGCTGGAATGAACAAGAAAAAGTAAAGATTTAAATATCTGTCCCTGCCCATAACATTTACTCCTTATCTTTCTCTGTGACATAGACCTTAATCAGGGTAGATACCATACTGCATTTTATGCTGATGAAAATGAGGCTGTGTGGGAAAGACCTTTCAAGATACACAAAGTCATGCACTGTTAAATGGAGTTTTTGTGTACTTAAAGTCTTTTGTAAATATGTTTTGTCAGCTGAACAATCGATATGTTCGATAAAACACACCGCATTTCTATCCCTGAAAGCTTCGTTTTGATGCTTGTCAAAGTTTAAACATGGCACTCTGACTATAATGACTCGGACTAAGGTCTATTAAATTTTTTTAAATTTTATTTAAAGCAAATTGACAGGGAGTCTTTTGTTTATTTCTTAGCCTGCTATGTGAGTTGAGCTAAAAAGTAAAGTTTACTAAATATCTGCACTCTTGAAACACAGTTGGAGTAATATATAGTAATATTAGTAATATAACATTAA